CAATCGCGACGCGGGGCTACGAGTATGTAAATTGACTGTACAGAACAAAGTGCTATTGCTATTTCAGAGAAGGAGACATTAAGCACAATGCACAAAGCAGGTGCCCTGCGCTGACCTGTAGCTTTGCAGTAGAGGCGATACAAATGTATGCATTTCTTGGTTTTGGCTCAGCAAAAGCTGCTCTAAAGACATGGTCAGGAGGAGAGACTGAAAGGGGGCAGCCTATAATTTTTAGCTATGCTGAAAGGAACTTGGGGAGACAGGTAGCAGGAAAAGACAAATAGCAGACAGCTTGTAAAGCAGAGGAAGAAAGGTGTAGAAAAAGTGACAAAGAGACCATACTATCAAGGTCAAGAACATAAAGAAAAGTACCATCAACTTTAAATTAATCTGCGCTATATAACATCATTACAGACAGCTACTGTTTCAATTTCCATGATCTGAAGAAGCTGATAACACAGAAGCACTGATTCACATGGTGAATCTGAATTCTTTCCTGTGGGCTGGCTCCTTATTAATCAGCTTAGTCACACTTTATCAGGTTTTGGTGTGCAACAATGTTCTCTAACCAGCTCTCTCAAGATTTTCTGGAACCCCCCCCCCCCCCAAATTCACATATTTTCTAGCCAGTAGAGGAGTATTCATGGAAACCATAGTACATCGTATCTGGAGGACTCTAGGTTGGAGATCACTGCTGTGTAATAAGCTTTTGAAATTTATTTGAATGAGAGTTCTAAATCTCTCATTCAGTTCTAAATCTCCTGCATCTCATTGGTCAGCTGTCTTTTTAACATACTGGTAGTCCTCAACTTACGAGCATTTGTTTGGTGACTGTTCAAACTTATGACAGTACTGAACAAAGGGTCTAACTCTTACAACCATGCTTGCACTTATAATCATCTCAGTGTCCCACAGCTACATGATGACCATTCAGGCACTTGGCAACCAGCTTTTATTTATGACAGTTGCAGAGTCCTAAGGCCATGTCATAGCCATTTGTGACCTTTCAGCTGGCTTCCTACAAGCAAAATCAATGGGTAATTGTGTGATTCATTTAATGACAACATGATTTGCTGAACAACTGCACCAAAAAAAAAAAAGTTGCCAAATTGGGTGTGATCACATGTTGCCTTGCTTAACAATTGCACCACTTACCAGTGAATTTTCCGGTCCTTATTGTGTAATTGAGGACTACCTGTACTATAGTTATATCTGACATTAATTTGTTTTTAATTCTTCAGCATCTCAAATTCCTTCTCCCCTTGCTCATTTCCCAACCCCATGACTCACTGTGTGAGTCAAGACTACTGTCTCCCATATGCAGCTGTCATTTCTCTCCACCCCTCAGCCTCCAGCTGTTCTTCCAACTCCTGGCTGGCACACTCGTTTTGCCCGTTTTGTGTTACACCATTTCTCTCATCTCCCATGGAAAGCAAGGCTACTGAGAGATCTGGCTTGCTATGCTAGCCTTACACTTTTCTTATGCCAGCTTCTTATGTCCAGCAGATCATCCTCTTGGCCTTGGCTTCACCACAAAGAATACATATCTGCCACCCTCCCTCTTTTTTCCTCCCTTTCTACCACCCCAGTCATGCTGCATCTGCTGCTCTAGACAATTGCTGCCATCTCCCACATAGCAACCTAATGTTCTGCTGCCATGACAACCGGACAGCGTGGGAAGGATGGAGGGTTGCTAAGAATGATATGTGGCACCTTTCTCAGAGGTGATTCAGCCATAGCCTGAGTACAGTAGTAACCTCAACATGACAGTGCAAGGAATCTTGCTTAGGGAGAGATTTATATAAAATGTTAAATACCTTTATTACAAGTCTACCCCCCCCCCCCCCCCAAAAGCACAAGTTTTGACTTTGAAAAAACTCCAGAACTGTTTACAGTACAATCTTACCTTTTAAAACAGGATATTATGACACCGTAAGCTCTAATCTTTGGAAACAGATTCAGGTTGCTCTTCAGTGTGATTGGCAGAGCATCATATGAGGTATATATTGTGCTTTGTTTTTCCCCCATTTTGCCATTTTGGTGCTCTAAAACTGATTTATATACAGATGATTCTAACTGTAGTTTTTGCATCCTTTTTCAGAAAATTCTGTCTGCTGAAATAGGAAGTAGTTCTATCCAGGTGGAACCTTTGAAAACTACTGTTGGTTAAAATCATGCCAGATCAGATGAATAGCCATGTATAAAGCAGTTTCTGATGTTCTAGGAAGGTATGC